TTTCTTGAAAACAAGGGCTAGAAGTCCTTTTGCCTTTTGGAGAAACCACTTCACGTTATATGCCTCACTTACCATCAAATCTGAAAACAGTGACTTAGCCTTGACGAGTCTTCTTTAAATAAACATCGTATCGACATAGCGGGAATTTCAAGCGTGCAATGAATGGTCGTCAATGCTTTCTAACCTAGATTTATTAAAACTACGCCCAGGTACAGAGTTCGAAAGCCTTCGTTGGCCCGCGAATTGTGCTCTTCTCGTGTATTACAGCAAGCTGTAAATGATTAAAATTCTGGCAGTTGTAACGACCAAATTTTAACGATAGTTTAACAATGTAAAAATGTCCACCGTTAAAGACAGTTATGAGGCACAAAATACGAATTGCGGAATGCAATAGGCAATCAACAGGTACAGTCCGGCAAAACTCGAAAATAGCAATCGATAATCCTAAGAGAGTAGGCCAAAATTTAAAGAAGTTTGATACAAAAAACAGAGGCAAAAAAGTTGCTCTCTCTTAAAAAGTCGTTTTACACTATGCCGCCCATTTGTTTTTGAATGTTGTCATGGACGTCGACATGTGCGGTCGTCAGTGTAAAGAGAAAGCAAACGGAAGAAAATGAACGGTGAGAGATGTCATGCAGCAGTTCACCGAAAAAAGTGGCAGGAAAATGTGTGGGGCAGGACCCTTCTACTTATAAGATACCACGGGAGTCGAGAACGTTTAGCTTTAAAGGGTGTTCGTGAACTCCAAGAGGATATCATAACCTTCAAAACGCGCTAGATGCGACGGAAATATTTTTCATGGTCTGACGGGATCGCCAAAATTCCTCTGAGGGTCGCAACGCGGAGGGAACACCGAAATTTCCGGGATTATAGCCAAAGTGGGGAAGGCAAGAGGATTATGCCTTCTGATTAACGGAAGAAAGCACTGGTAAGGATGCGAAACAGAGGAACCCACTGCGATTATCAGCGATTCGCTAAGGGTCAAAACGAGGAGAATATGTGAGAAACCGCGAGATAACCGTCGCAAAGGACAAAATCAAAAGATACAGCAAGTCATTGCAACATGGAAGATAGTAAGACTAAGCAAGTGTTTCCCGCCGAACAAATAAAGCTTGCAACATTCACCTTTAAATTCTGGCGCAACCCCTTTCAAGGCACACAAATTAGATTTCGGAAGTGAAAAGTACAATAAGGGGCGAAGAGGAGAAAAATCCCGTTTGAAAGCATGATGTCTAGAATCTCCCTCCCTCTCTTGTTGATGTTGAAACCAGCAGGCACCAGATTGGAAGGTCAAAATCTTGGGAAAGCTGAAATCTAGGTGGACAGCGGATTGAAAGCCAGCATATTTCAGGGAAGTTGAAAAACTTATCGTTTTATTGTCAAGGGAAGATTCTGAAGATAATGTAAGCACTGCCCGTTATTGCGAGAACTCCCATGGCACTATAGAAGTGACCGGTTTGCATGCATGCGTTTACCCTTGAAGTTGTTCTTTAGCATTGAACTTTTTTCTCATTGGTCGAGCTTTACAAAACGCGAAAGTCGAAAGTTATTTCGGTGCACTGAGGGTTAATTCTTTAAGGCCGTCCGCTCTTTGCTCTGAAGCTGCAAAATCCCAATGCCCGTATTACACGTCATCGATGTGCCATTACAGAATATGATGAAAACCACCTCGCTAAGACTTTCGAAACATTTGTGGGGATGCATTTAAAGAATGTCCTACAAACCTACAGAACGCAGCAACGAAAAATCGGAATATGCTCGACAGAATTCAAGGGAGAACTTCCAGTTTGTTGACGATTTAAAGCCCCAATTCTCTTTCTTTTAAGCTAAAGGAAATTTTTACGGAGCACATTTAAAAGCGATCCGCATAGGAAGACGACTGCGCTCCAACCTGAAATCTGACGATTACTAGAATTTCGCTACCAAAGCTAGACGTCGAGGTAACCTATTAAAATTAATTGTCAGGCAGACAAACGCAGATAAGCGAAACATGTTTTTCATTGGGCTAGTAAACGCATAGAGTATCCTCTTTGTGCAAGCTATGATTTCACGAAATAAGGAAAACCTGAGAGGGCATTTTGGCAAACTTTAGTCTCAAAATGAATCGGAATGCTAAGAGGTCAGCCTTTCCCCTCAAATCAAATTTTCATGCTTTTAAGGTCCCTTTTGAACAATAAGAATGTACAAGACTTCTAGCACTACAACAGTTTTTACATTTCAAATAGAATGCCCGAAGGTTCACGTCTGTTGCCTACCAATAAATTGAACTGTACAGGCTCATTCAAATACTGTCGTCCAAGTGGAACTTTTTGGATTGAAATGACGTCTTCGATTTTAACGCATATTTTTATGCTACAGCCGGATTTCTTAGCATCCTAGTTGACAACGAGACCAAGCTCTTCATCAACATTTATAAACGTCTAGACCGGGTAAGGCCGATTTAGCTACTCTTGAAAAGTTAGTCAAAGGTCCTTTGGGGTTGTTTCGAAAATGCACAGGAAGTTAAAAGACAGACGAACACTTAACTTTATTACACCAGAAAAGAAATCGGGCGGTGAAATTCTGAAGAAACTTTTACTAGACTTAAATTACGGCGGAAAAGAAAAATACTTTGGTCACCTTTCTGTGCCAATTTGATGGCCACTTAAGTAGCCATTACTTGGTAGGATGAGAGTTATCTATTATTATTGAGTTCTTTTGCTACGATCTAAATGTTTTTGTTGCCAGTCACTTTATATCACAGCGATTTTGACAAAATCACTCGTAATAGTCCAGTCCAGTTTAATTTGCGACCGCTTCTTCAGATCACGACTTCGTTATTAGTAGGTTAGACTTTAAAAGTAGCTTTTTTGAACGTTACTTAAATAATACGGTGGGGACCATGCCAAACTAGTAAACTTTGGTGACATCGTTATCTGTGAGTTTTGAAGCCAACTGACAACAAACACTCGGTCGGACAAATTGCTGCTCTGCTGATAACACATTAACCAGTTAAATGAATTTGCTAAAGTGAATTACTGTTTATGAGGGAGCTAGGAAAGAGTGGAAGAATGATCATTCAAGTTTCTTTCATCAATTAAGTTTCTTTATGATTGCGAGGAGTTTCACAGAACAGTGCATATCATACAGACTGAAGCAGCGACAAATAGATCGAACAAACTGCTTTAGGAATTTCAGTCCTGTGGTATAGTTACGAAGAATAAATGGAGTCAAAGAAAACTAAAAGCGCCTCCTTCGCTTAACATTTCGGTCTGCCTAAATTCCTACTTCTATTTCGCGTGTTTCGACCTGTTACCAGATAACTCCACCAAAGACCTGAACAAAGTACCAAATTGATCTGAAAAAGGGTGTCACGCCAATATTTGAGCTCAAGTCGTCTTCGTTTTGCTAGAAGCGGTGGCCTCGACCACTAGCACTGAACTCGTAGAACGGACAAAGATGAACGTGTCCACACCACCGCGACCACATTTTTTGAGTAGCACTTAATGTTTTTGCAATGTCGTTGTGACAAATGTGGGCTACTTTCTAAACGCAGTCGGTGTACTTCGCTCGAAGCCGCAAAGCCAGAGGACGACATTGTGACATGGCGACCGTAGACCGTCATTAAATAAGTTTGCCTGCCACCGCTGCCTTGTGGTTAGGCTTTTAAGACAAAACGGTCGAGGAGACAACCTCGAACAAAAAATCCAAGCGGCTATTGGGGACCCGCCTGTATCCGAAATTCCCAAGAAACCTCATGAAATATATCCGATCACAGTATTACGACCCATGGTACTGCGTCCGCGGGAACCGACCCGCTCCGCAACACTGGTTCGGTGGTGCGGGCGAATAGTATGCGAGCTGGACTACTCAATCGGGGACGGACTCTTGGTAATGGACGCTGGAATGTGCGAACGTTCCTGGACCGTGGTACCCAAAGTCTGACCGCGCAGAGCCATAATCAGTACAACATGGATTTCTGCTGTCTGTCCGAAGTTCGATTTCCTGACTCGGGCTCTCGAGAAATAATGATAGCTGGAGTCGAATTACACTTAACCCTGTACCACAGCGGCCGCCGCGACTTTTCTGGTAGACAAAGTGTGGCTATCGCTCTCTCGCAACATGCGGACCTCGCGTTACTTGCTTGGGAACTAGTCAATGACCGGATGGCCTACGTGCGACTAAGGGGCTACTTCACGAACATCTCATTCGTCTCTGTGTACGCACCAACTTGGGCTCTCGAACAACCCGATAAAGAGACGTTTTACTCTCAGTTGCAGGCGTTAGTTGAACGACTCCCTGTCCGCGATCTGATGATTGTCGCCTGGGATTGGAATGGTTGAACTGAACCCGGCGGCACCACAAGCAGTCATCTTCTTGGCCGTTTTGGGCTTGGTTTCCGTTGTGAAAATGGCGAGAGTTTGCCGAACATCGCTGATCAGAACCGACTGCATGTCACCAACACGGGTTTCCAGCATCGCAAGAAACATCTGCTGACCTGGTATTCAAACGACGGTCGTACGGCCAGTCAGATTGACCACATACTAGTCAGCTCAAGGTTCCGCAGCTGGGTTCACGATAGCAGATCGATGTGTGGTGCCGAGACTGGTAACGCCCATGGGTCGGAATATGTCCTCGTTCGTACACGCCAGAAAGTTCACCCCTCATCCTCGCCAAAAATGCCATGTCTTAGACACCTCGATGTCGCAAAAATTCGTTAAACCTGCGCTGCTGAGGCCTTGAGCAGAGGAACCCTGACCTGTTTTACGACCCGAACTGACGGAGAAGGCAGTAACTGGTGGTCGTCACTGAAAGCGTCAGTCTATGGAGCAGCGGAGAAAATCCTTGGATACACCCAGCGACGCCGCAGCCACAGGATCAGCGGAAGAACTCTGCAGTTGTTTGCTCAGACGGCTCGAACCAGGTCCCGTAGTGATGACCCCTTCCGCCAACTTCCTAAGATGACGGCAAAATCAGCCAGAGATGACCGGAAGCAATATTGCGCCAAAATAGCGACCTCCATGGAACAGGTCTTGAACGTTCATGACACTCGAAAACTCGACCAACTTATCAGCCAGGTTAGTGGTAAGCCCTCTACACTGAGTGACTCAGTTCGCGACGTGAATGACGGCTTTACTACTTGAAGAAGAAGAAGGTGGGCTTTACTACTGACAACTCGGCCAAAGTCGAGCGCTGGCGTGAGCACTTCGGGCACCATCTCAACTTCGAGATCCAATCCAACCCGTCCTTGCTCTCCTCTGCAGCCGAGGTTCTTCCCTCTCCAACCTATGCAGTGTCATGCGATCCCCCTTCTGAAGAAGACGTCGCCGATGTCATTCGAAAGCTACGCAACAACAAGGCACCCGGAGAGGATGCTATACCCGCCGAAATCTACAAGTCCTGTGTCGACACTCTGGCTCACAGGCTCCATGAGGTGATTGAACAAGCGTGGAGAAACGAGGTGGCTCCTGGTGACTGGGGTTTAGGCATCCTTGTACCTATCCTCAAGAAGGGAGGTAAGAGGAGATGCGAGAACTGCCGCGACATAAGCCTCATAGACGTTGCTGCGAAGAGCTTTGCTATTATCCTACTCAAGCGATTCCAGACTGTGCGTGACTCTAGGACGAGGCCCAACCAGGCCGAATTTCGTGCTGGTCGTAGATGCGCCGACCAGGTATTCACACTAAGGCCCACTCTCAAATTTCGCCATAACTACCAGCAACCGACGGCCGTCTGCTTTGTTGACTTTGTCGCCGCCTTCGATTCCGTCCATCGTGGCGGATAATGGCGCTGGATGGTGTACCGGCAATAATCATCGCCATGATCAAGGCCTATTATTTCTCCGCCACCGCGCGAATCCTCGTCCGCAACAATCTTTCCCAATCGTTTGGAATGCGGTCTGGCGTTCGACAGGGTTGTATCCGGTCGCCTATTCTGTTCAACTACGCTATTGACTGGATTCTCGGGAGGGCCCTACACGAAGGTGACGGTGTTGAATTTGCACCCAGACATCGACTGCCTGATCTCGACTATGCCGATGATATCGCCTTATTTGCTTCAAGTTTTCGTGATCTGCAGTCCATGTTGTCACGGTCGGTTTGTCCATAAACGCTGGGACGACTAAAATGTTTTTAAGCTGCATTCCTGACCAGGAGAAGCCACCTTTCGGGATTGATGGTTGTCAACTTGAAGAAGTAGACAGCTTTAAATACCTCGGGGCGAGGCTGCTGTCGAATTGCCAGAGTAAGGATGACATTGTCTTCCGAATTGATTCTGCCTGACGGGTTTTCTCAAGCCTTAGAAAATGTCTATGGATCCGACACGACCTCTCCATCGCCACTAAGATCCGCGTGTACCGTGCATCTGTCCGGTCTCTCCTTTATGTTTGTGAATGTTGGGCTGTGCGCGTGTAGGACGAGCGAAAACTGGAGGTATATGACCACCACTGCGTGATGACCATTCTTCGAGTGAAGTATGCCGACTTCGTCTCAAATGAGACAGCCCGCGCTCGCTGCGACAACATCGCAAGGATAACTCAGGCCGTTTGAGAAAGAAGACTGAGGTAATTTGTGCATGTTATTCGTCGTCCACCTCAGGAGCTCAGTATTACTGCCCTCGATCCGGCACTGTTATCCCACTAGAGGCGCCGAAGAGGGGGTCAGTTCAAAACCTGGCTCGAAATAGTTCGTCAAGACATGGAGGTGGTTCTTTGGCCATCGGTATTTGCTCTCCGTCGTTGGCAGAGAGAATAGGTTGAACTGTTCAGATCTGCTGCCGCGGATCGTCACGCGTGGAGAGGTACAATTCGGGAAATCATCGAGGCCCGCTAAATCAGGCATGATAACAGCCGTACCAAGTACAATTAAGTAAGTAGATGAATGGTTCTGAGGGAAGCAGCGGTCAAACACCACGTTTCACTTGTCTTCCAAGCGCACAATTATCCTGCAGGACTGACCGGACTGATGCCTAGTATCCCACATCTTTGTGGCTACAGTGCTATCGCGATGGGTCCATAGGCAGCCTCAGGAGCGTACGAGAACTCTACCGACGGCATGGTTTCGGGTGAGGATATTGTCCGGACTTAACGCTAATAAGTCAATAGCGCCGCTGTCATCACGGCGGCGCGGCCGATGTCTTGATGCAACTTTAATATGGTCGAAGACGCATGCGGCCTCTGCGATAGTTTACTCAACGAGCCACAGGATGAACTTTTACTGTGTTTAGTTGAATTGCAAACCGGTGGAAGGGGTTGGTACGGATCAGTACTCCCGCGGTAGTTGATCAACCGTAGACTATGTTTTTTGTCAGCATGCCGTTTAGCCCCCCTATACACCCCAGGGACTCACGCCAGACAGAATCAGTGTGATGAAGTCAGCAAACTAGTCAACCGCCGGTCGCAGATCGTCATGGCGGAATTTAGGGACGTGCCGTAGGGTGAATATCTGGCCAGGACATCCGTGTCCAGCTCGGAACCTCATTTGATTAGATATCATCCCTATGTCTCACGCACTTTGACCATAACAAGCATCTTGACAGTAACGTCAGTGGTTTTTGCACTTTCTCCTATTTGTCTTCCGGAAGACAGACACAAGGATGGCTGAGACAACTATCAGGGACGAAGACATTTCTCACACTTTCCCAATCACCTTGTGGAGTCAGGACGCAGGAGTGTGGACACATTAATTGTAGACATCAGTGGGGAGAGCGTCCTCCCTGTGCATCCTTTTGTTGCGCAGACTTAGTACTGCGTCGATGATCTAAATAGGGGGCCACGCGACGCTGTATGGGCTGGAGAGGGGTAAAAACTCGCTGCAGAGGAGGTAGTAAAGGTGGTTTGTTGGTTTCTGAAGCTGTGATATTAGAAATACTTGCGCCAGCGCTCGACCCTGGCCAATTTGTTAACAGTGAAGCCTCGAACAGAGTTACTCAGTGTTGAAGGCCTACCGCTAATTTATTGAATATTTGGGTCGATTTTTTGAGTGTCAAGGACATTCGAGGCCTACTCCATGGATGTCGCTATTTCAGTTCCACTGTTTTTGCGGTCATCTCTAGCCTTCTCTACTGATGAAAATAATGGCTGTCGCAGGACTTGGCCTGGGCTGCTTGAGTGGACGGTTATGTGACTGAGCCAGTTTAGTCATTGCGGCGCCATTGAGTGAATCTGAGAATTATCAGTTGCCTTGTTGACTGAAAACCCTAATGATGGTCATTCTCTACCACCTCCTCCTTTGGTTTGGGGCCGTAAGTTGAAGGCAAATTTCTATGCTCAGGGTCTCGACCTTGTTCCGTTGTCGAACTTCTGCGATCCCAACGCCTTTTACACGTGCAATTTTGGACGCAAATCGTGGGTAAACATCCAGACGCCTGACTCATAGCATTTCCAATTTCGGTACCACGCGTCGATATGTAATCATGAGCCCAGTTACCAAACCTTGAACTGACTACAACGTGGCCGGCCGCACTAGCTGCTTGACCATCTTTCGGGTATCGGGGCTGCAACTGGAAGTACTCTTGGATGACAGTTAGCTAATCCCATGCCACAAAGCGCAACATTCTCACTATTATCGCATCAACAGAAAAGCCAACCGCGGTCAATAAGGTGATTGTTTGAGGAGCTGCGTGGCCCAACTACCACCCAGGCCCCCGACAACAATAAGCAGAACACTAAGGGAGTTTCTCCATCAATTTCGATGGGTGCTACTTAAAGAGTTCTTTGCCATTCCAGTCGAAAGTTGATGCTAATGAAGTATGCAGTGACGACAAAAGCTGTTGGTAAGTCATGCGTATGCCCACTGGTTATTGACTAATTCTCACGCATGCACTACATGCTTCGTATGCCACAAGGGGCTTATCGACACATCTTGTTTACCGGAGGAGTCTCACCGGCCGTAGTGCAAGAGGGTAGAGGGAGAATGACCCTCTAAATGTTGGTTTCCGGAGGACTTTGATCTACGACAGGTGGCAGACGCCAGTATTCCCCTGATGAAGACTGCGCTGCCAGGCTTTGTGTACCTAGGTCCATAAACGTTCGCACATGCCAGTACCCAATAATAAGGATTCTTCCAAATCAAGCGGTTTAGCTCGTATACTATTCGCCCGCACGGCGACAACGGGATTTGTACCTCATCGGTTCCCGCGAACGCCGTTCATAGATCATTATACTCAAATCAGACATTTTCACGATGCTTCTTGGAATAAATGAGTACAGGCGCGTCTCCAACGAAGATTCCCAAGCTCTCTTAGTTCTAATGACACGCTTATCTTGAAATAGTGATTCTTCACTTTTGGCCACCCTTGTCAGCCGTATTAGTGTAATGTGCAATCCGGTGGAAGTTTTCTATGGATGATTTTTCACCCTCCTTGGCCATTACATGCTCATTAGCCCAGACGGCATGACTTTCTTAGGAGAAGATCGTTACACACAAGCCTTTTCACGGGCAAATCCTCGTCTGCGTCAGACAAAGAAAACATTTTTCTAGCCGAATTTGTGTTTTATCTGGGACCTAACTTATATTCTAACTCCATTAAAGCCACGTTTGGAAACCACTACCAAGGTCAGCAAAAATGCCTCGTAATTTCCAAAATTTCACAGGACAAAGATGCTAAGTGCAATATTTAATGTGTTCTTATTCGTGCCGCCAGTACTGCTCACCATCATGGCAGCCATGCCCCGTCCGAGACATCGAAGTTACTTGAAAAAGTATTAGGCCAGACTTGAAAACTTGTTCATCCCCTTCGAAATGCAACGTAACGCCTGGGGAAAGTTTTTACTTCTGCTCTTGCAAAGAGATGACCACTTGTCGGCTCCGTCAAACTATGCGACAGTCAGTGCATGAAAGAATGTGTATTTCGATCTATTTTTCCATTTCTATTTTTTGCGGCATTTCAAAAAGGTGCTCAAACCGGGCATTTTTACCCGAAGTAGTCAGATGACTTTCTTAGACCGCATAACCAACCCATAGAACAGATTATCTTTTCATACCCGATCATGTTTGCTAAATGAGAAACGGTCTTCGTGTAGGACTCGGTTCGACCTCGCTTCCACCTAGATATTACTTACACTCTAAATTTGTAGCCTGAGGCTCCCCACGCATAGTATCACACACTCTCTCTTTCGCGCATACTGAACTCTTGCTGCGGTTTGGACTGCCGAAGTTCTCTGACTGTTGTGCCTAGGCTTGTTTTTCGCTCATTATTAGCGACCAGTTTTTCTACTTTTTATTGCTGCCATTTGCTTCTTTGCTTCGTGACTCGTCCTAACCCCTTTTCAGATCTCCGCTAAACAATTGGATTTGGTTGCAAACTTGTGTAGAGTCTTATTGGTGGGCACCACACCTTCCCTGGAATCTTTTACGCTCGCCACTTCTCTAATTCGCAGTTATCCTTTTATTTTGTTGTTTGTTCCCTACTTGGTTGCTCTCCCTCTTAACCCTTTACCATTCTTATCCACGAACTGTGAAGATTTTTAAATTTATGGATTTAGTTCGCAAGAACAGCAGTCAGTCTTCAAGCGCCCTGTGTGAACAATGACAACCCTCGCTATTACTGCCAACAGTAGTTCTTTGAACGGTAGGTTCGCAGTTTTTCGAAAATGCAATAGTTGGGACGTGAACAGCAGCATGATTCTTCTGCTTTTGCTTATAGGGCCCGTCACTACGGTCGACGACACTCAGAGGCTCCCTTCATCTCACTCTGGGGAGAAAATCGAGGTCACTGAAAAAGTCATGGACCCACCTGCCAAGCAGGGCTTCTGTCAAAAGTCTTCCTCCTTGTTGCGTTTATTCG